GAGAGAGAGAGAGAGAGAGAGAGAGAGAGAGCGAGCGAGAGAGAGAGAGAGAGAGAGAGAACAAGCAAGGGGCGGTGGAGGGTATCACTCTACTGCCCAGGTGTCCTCGTCCTCCTGGAATTCTGCACCCTGAGCCAGTGGATCATGATGTACGTGCCACCATACCCACCCCTGAGTTCTATATTCTACCCTGAAAATCCCATGTTGTCCCAGTGTTCAAACAGAAGGCTCAATAGTGATAAGCATTAGACATAGCACCATCTTGCCACATTGCTTTCTCAGATAAAATCCATGTTTTCATGGATGCATTTACAAAAGTGGAGGGCTATCTCAAGTGAAGTGTGTGTTCCTCTTTCAGAAAACACTTACTCAGTTCACACTGACAACCCACTGGGCTCTGCCATCTGGGGTGCGAGATTCATGAGTTTTAAGGCTCATAGAGTCATGAAACTATAGCACAGAATAGAGATATAATAAAATTGTCTACTTGTAGTAGGAGCTGCGGGCTGCGTTCCTGCCACCCAGCTCCCAGCCACCTGGCTAGCTTATGCCCCGAAATAACAGCACACAAATTGTATTCATTTAAACACTGCTTAGCCCATTAGCTCTAGCCTCTTACTGGCTAACTCTTATATCTTGATCAACCCATCTCTAATAATCTGTGTAGCACCACGGGGTGATGTCTTACCAGGAAGATTCTAGTGTACGTCCATCTTGGGCTGGATCTTCATCGTGTCTGCCCTGGAGAGGAGAAGCATGGCGTCTGCCTCACTTCCTCTTCCTCCCAGCATTCTGTTCTGTTTACTCCACCCACCTATGTTCTAACCTATCAGGCCAAGCAGTTTCTTTATTGATTAACCAGTAAAATCAACAGATTGATATATGACACTCCCATATCATCTACTAACTAACATTGCTGCACGAATTGATCCTCCTAGTACCAGGCTGCCCATTTCTCAGTATGTGCAAGGAAGGGTCCCGAACATCCAAAGCCTTGCAATTCTTTTTTTTTTTTTTTTTTAGTTTTTTTGAGACAGGGTTTCTCAGTAGCTTTGGAGCCTGTCCTGGCACTAGCTCTTGTAGACCAGGCTGGCCTTGAACTCACAGAGATCCGCCTGCCTCTGCCTCCCGAGTGCTGGGATTAAAGTCGTGTGCCACCACCGCCCGGCCAAAGCCTTGCAATTCTTAGAAAGGAAAAGCAGCCTGGAAATTTTCTTGGGAGCTGGTGGAAGTCTTCAGGAGAATGCCTCTATTTTTGTTCTCTGACAGCCACTTATCAATTAGGCATATTGTTACTGTTTGCATAGCAAGCAATTTGGGGCTCTTAAGAAAAGGAACATATAAGGTTTCCTGGGTCGTTGTGACATTGCCACCTTTTGAACTTTTGACATTCAGTGTTCAGTGTAGCTCTTCTTGTCCACATGTTCAGTAAGAATACAGAGAGTCTTGCACTGCTTCCTAATTCACCTGTGTATTATGGTCCTTTTCCTATTACAGTTTAGTTACATCTGAACATTTAGCAAGACTGGATTCAGCTACATGCACACACATAAAGAGAATCCACTTTGTGCCTTCCCACAAAGTGGAGTACCACTTGTGCCTCTGCTGAACTGAAAGACTACCTCTGTGGTCCCCATGAACCACTGAATCTGTTCGCATTCCCTGTTCTGTTAAGGGAATTGTAATGGTGATAACGGGTCCTGGACATAAGTCTTCTGGGTAGGTTCATTGGAAGCTATGGCATCTGGGCACAGACAGGTCTGTGGGGCAATGGATCATCAGCCTGGGGACTACCGGGGTGCTAGTGGACAGATCAATGCCTGGTACTTCACTTCTTTAGGAAAATCAGTTTGAGGGAAATAACCATGGAGTTGGTGTTGACAGATGGAAAAAGCCCAATGGAGAAAGGTTTCCCAATGAGCCAAGCTGTTTACAACAAAGGAGAACGTCTTAAATATGGAATCTTCCATTCCGTTTTGGCCTTTACTAGCTCAGTCCTTCCACGGGCAGTGGTTTATACATACAGGTTTCCATTTTGATTTCTGATCATGTTTTTATTGCTGCTTCCTTCCTCATCTTGTAGGTATGTGTTTTCTTAGAAGATGATAAGCTTACAGACCCATACTCCAAGATCCAAGTATTATCTGCGTGTGTTTCCGATGTGAAGAAAGACATCATCCACGTAGCTGATGAATACTACTTCTACCTGGACAGCATTTCTAAAGGTTCAGTTTTCATTTTAAAGCTCTGTTGCATTTAACATTTTGAGTTTTAGTGCAGACATTGGTTTGGCTGCAGCAGACTCTGATGAGTTCAGGGGCTCTTCATCATTTGTGGTGAATCTTGGCCACCAAAAGTCAAGTGCAATGCAGGTATGAACAGGTAATGTTTGTAAACACTTACACTGCCATTCACTAGGTGCTCATTTAGTTGAATGCAGAGATAAAACATGGATACATTTTTCACTCAGGTGAGTATGTAACTCTGATAACAAAACTATTACAAATGCATAAAAAGCTTTATACTTTTAAGGCTTATTTAATTTTAGATTTTCTGTGTGTGTGTTTTTTGTCTGTGTACATGAATACAGTTGCCTACAGAGTTCAGAAGAGAGTATCAGATCCCCTCTGAGCTATAGGTGGCTATGAGCCACAGAGAAAGTATTTTTAAAAACACTAAGACCTGTTGTGGCCAGAAAGATAGAGCAGGGGGTTAAGAGCACATACTTCCCCAGCGGAAAATCTGAGTCTGGTTCTTGAGACTCCTGGGTATATGTGGAGAGGGGTGAGAGAGGCAGAGAGGCAGAGAGACATATAGGGTGATGGATACAAAAAGAGAAGGAAGAAAACAAGAGAGGAGGAGGCAGAATGAGAGGAGAGAGAAAGAAAGAGGGAGAGAAGAAAGAAGCGTAGACAGGAAATAGTGAGAGGCATATACAGAGAGGGACTGAGAGAGGGAGACAGAAAGAGAAAGACAGAGAGGAAGGGACAGAGGGAAGAAGAGAGGAGAGAGGTAGGGATGCAAGGAGAGGGAGATGAGGGAGTGAGAAGAGAAAGAGAGAGAGTGATAGAGGAAAGAGGGCGGGAGAAAGTGAAGGAGGCAGGGGAGAGAAGAGATTGGGGGAGATAGATGGAGGAAGAGAAAGGGAGAGAGAAGGGAGATAGGGATGGAGGGAATGAGAGGGGGAGGTAGAGAGGAAGGAGACAAAGGGGGAAATGGAGGTAGAGGGGGAGAAGTAGAGAAGAGAGAGAAATAGAGAGATAAAGGGAGAGGGTGAGGGGAAGAGTCATGGGAAAGAGGTAGAGAGAGACAGGAAGAGGGAGTGGGAAAGAGAAAGAAGAAAAGAGAGCATGGGAGGGAGGGAAGTAGGAATAAGGGAAGAGAAAGGGATAGAGGAGGAGACAGGAAAAAGGGGGGTGGGAGAAATGGAGAGACAGAAAAGGAAGTAAAGAGAGAAGAAGAGAGGGAAATGGGGAGAGAGGGAACAAGAGAGAAAGGTAGAGAAGAAGGGGGTAGAGAGAAAAGGAGGCAGAATGAGAGAGGGAGAGATGGATAGAGTGAGAGGGAGGGAGACAGAGGGAAAGGAAGAAAGATGAGAGAAACAGACACAGAGAAGTGAGAGAAGAAGAAAGACGAGAGAAACCGACACAGAAAAGTGAGAGAGGAAGGGAGAAAAAGACAGAGAAAAGCATGGAGGGAAGAGAAAGAAAGGAAGGGACAGAGAAGGGATTAAGGGAAAGAGATAGAGGGAGAGGTGAGATATGGAGGGAGGGAGAGAGACAGGGATGGAGAGAGATAGGAGGAGGGGATGCAGGGACAAAGAGAGGAGTCCACAGAGAGGAAGTGGGTGGGAGGGAGAAGTAGGGGCAGAAGGACATAGAGTGGATGAGAGCAGGGCAAGAGAGAAAAATGAGAGACAAGGAGGAAGAGAGATAGAGGGAAGGAGGGAGGAGGAAAAAGTGGAGGAAGGGAGGGGAGTAGGAGAGGTGAGGGAGGAAGGGATAAAGGGAGAGGAAAGAGGTGAATGGAGAGGTAGGAGAGAGTGATGGAAGGGGGGTAAAGAGAGGGATAGAGGGAGAAAGAGGAAGAGAGGCGGAAAGGGAAAGAGAGAGAGCATGGAGGGAAGGAGAGGGGGAGAGACATAAATAGAGGGAGAGATATGGAGGAAGGTGGGAGAGGAATGAGGGAGAGAGGGAATCAGGCAGGGGAGACAGAAGGATGGAGGATGAAAGAGGAGTGAGGGAATGCAAGAGGAGGGAGAGAGAGTAAAGAAAAGAGGAAGAGAGACAGTGAGGAAGAACGGAGAGGAGTGACAGGAAAGGGGGGAGATAAAGAAGAAAAGCAGAGATGGTGGTGGAGGAAGAGAAGGGGAGAAAGAGTGTAAAGAAGAGAGATAGAAGCAGGGAGGGCAGGTGAATGGAAGAAAGGGAGATGGAGAGAGTCTGAGAGAGGGTGAATGGAGGGAGATAGTACACAAGAGAGGGGGATAGAGGAAAGGAGAGATGGGAGGGGAGAGATAAGGATGGAGAGGGATAGAGAGAGGATACAACAGAGAAATGTAAAGAGCAAAAGAGAGAGTGGGAAGGAGAGAGGGATGGGTAAGGGGTGGAGAAAGGAAGAGAAGAATACACAGAGAGGGAAGGAGCAAAAGAGAGAGGGGGAAAAGGGGAGAATTAGTTTGAAGACAGTCTGGAACACGTGAGGCCCTGTCTCAAAGAGAAGACTCTGGATGTGACCAATTAAGCAGTAAATCCTCCAGTGTTCCCAAAGAAACAGACTGTGATGCCATTGTCCATTTGTCCACTTGATTCAGTTAAGGGAATAGAGCAAAACCAGTGTCTAGAAACAATCAGTTTCTGAGCCTAGCGGTGGTGGCAAATGTCTTTAATACTGGCATTCTTGAAGTCTGAGGCAGGCAGAACTCTGCGAGTTCACCAGTCTCATCTACAAAGGGAGTTCCAGGACAGTCAAGGCAGAGAAACCCCGTCTCAAAAAAACCAACCAAAAAACAAACAACAAAGAATTATCTATTTCCATTCTAGCTGGAAGATTTCTAAGCTACCTGTACCTTACACCAACTACCCACTTCATCATGGTGTTAAAAGTCAACGTAGTAATGAAATTTACTTGACTGATGTTAAAATGTAACCACGTTTATCCAGAGTCTTCTAAAGTTGAGACTGGAGATAGTTGGCAGAATTCTAAACTCAATTTTCTCTTAGCTATCTTAGGTTTTACACCGTATGAAGGGGACTGGTTAGACATTGAGTATTCTGTGGAGCAAGGATCCTCAAAGATTACAGTACAGTCATTGAAGGCCACAAAGCGTAGGCACCTGGAAGAGGTAATGGCTATTCCATATTGTTGGCTTGTTTCAAAGCCTCCTTTGGTGGTATTTGTGACTAACTCTCTGTTGGGTGTGTTGGGAACTATGGACATATGGAGAATGTCTCCTTGACCCATTTATTTAAATGGCAGGACTTCGTAAAGAAGTAACTAAAGACAACAGAGGTCATACATGCAATACTTCAATCCTGAGTCACAGGGTTTGCCACATGGACTGATAGGTGGGATATTCTAAAAACAACAGGAGAAAAATGAGCAGTTCAGAGAGCATTGGTGGGAAGGTGGGAATGCAAAATGGGGCTGTGGCTGGGGTGTGGTTCAACTAGCTTGCAAATAAGTGTCCACAAAGGTACAGATGAAAGCATGAGCTTGAAGAGTGACGGGGTTGGGAGGTGGCAATAGTCTACTCCATACTGTCTTCCTTTACCATCAACCTTGGCCTATCCACATTAACCACAGGGGCTAATGGCCACTGGTGACTATTGATAACTCATGGTCTCTCCCCAGCAGGACTGAGCCACCAACAGAGTCTCCTCTCTAATTGGTGTGAGGTTGGATCTGGGGAAGGGGGTGGGTGACACGGACCCCAGTGTTGGCAGTGTAGCAGGCAGGACAGACAGGACACGGTGGCACAGTGGGGTCGGCAAGTGTTTAGAGCCAGAGAGTGGAAGGACAGAGATTGCCCAGGGATTCAGGCTCCTGGTGTTCACTGCCACACTTTCTCCTGACAGGCCTGCGTGACTAGCATCCACAGACGACAAGGACTGCTCAATCACTCCATCTTCTTCACCCTGAACTCACTGAAATGCCCTCTGGGCTATACCCCTCTTGTGGGCCATGTTGTCAGAGCGGTGATAGTGCAGAGCATCGGGTCCCACTACAGCTGGAGAGCCATCGCCATGAGTCCAGTGAAGGTGCTGTAGGGCGAAGGCCTTGGGAAACCCTCTGCAAGTCATTTCTATAAGACATAGAGGGCCTCATTTAATGCAAACGCTTATGTTAAGAATTCTAAAGAAAATGTTCCATGTGAATTTTCTGGCCACTATGCTGCTTAGATCTCTCTCCAGGGAGCCTGCACTCAGTGTGGGAAGGGGCTTTAGCCACTAGAACACACGCTCAAGCTGCCTCTTGATGGAGGCAATATCAGCATATGACCTGAGCTGAAACTCCATGACTCCTGAGACCAGCAGTGGACCCTCTGCTGCCAGTGGGGCTGCTCTGTCCCATAACTAACCTATAGGACTCGAGGCTCCATGGCCAGCTGCTGCTTGGGTTCCATTAGGAGTCTCCTCATCGGGTGTGTGGTGTTCATTTGCCCATAGCATTTTTAACCTCCCACGCCTACTCAATTGTTAAATTTTTTTATTTGCCTGTGACCCATCTTCCCATGCTACACTGTAACCATTCTAATCATAGCACACCCTCCAACTGCAGTTAAGAAGGACAGAGTTCACATCATTAATTTTAATAAATGAATGTTGTGAACAGCAATAGTGTGTGCCCATGGTTAAGTGACCATCCAGTCCCCAGGAATAGAGCTGTTCAGCATCCCATGAGCACATAGTTGACTCTTCACACAAAAATGTGGGTCTGGCCCCTGTGTTTGTGGGACCCTGTGATACTGCAGAGGGGGTAGGGCATCAGGGACCTGGTGGGGTGATTGGGACAAGATGGTGGAGCCCAGGGACTTGGGGATATGTGTGTGCTGGCAGATGGCACGGAGACCCACCACTCTCTACCCCCTCCTCCATACTCTTTCCTCCTCCCTAGTCACTCCTTTGCCTGCATTTCTCCTATTTCTTCCTTCCCTCCTCCTTCATCTGATTCCCTCTTCCCTGCAGCCTCTGTTCTCCCCTCCCCTCCAAATTATTCCCACTTCTTCCCTACTGCCTTTTCTTCCTACTTCTCTATGCTTGCCTCTTCCCTTCTCCTCCTTTCTCTTCACACTTCCCACACTTCTACTTCCTACTCCCTTCTTTTTTTATTGCCTCCTACCTCATTTTTCCTCCTCCCTTGTTGATGTGGGAGTGTCATATATCAATCTGTTGATTTCATTGGTTAAGTTATAATAAACCAGCTGCTTGGCCTCATGGCTGGAACATAGATGGGAGGAGTAAACAGAATAGAATTCTGGGCGGAAGAGGAAGTGAGGTCAGACTCTGCTCTGCTCCCGGAGAGACCCGACAGCTCTGCTGGAGCAGAGACGCCATGCTCAGCTCTCCCGGGTAGACGCGATAGCTCTGCTCTCTGAGGCACATGCGATGAAGATGGATGTAGGCTAGAATCTTCCCGGTAAGCGCACCTTGGGGTGCTTACACACATTATTAGAAATGGGCTAGTCCAGGTGCGAGAATTAGCCTGTAAGGGCTAGAGTTCATGGGCCAAGCAGTTCTTTAAATGAATACAGTTTGTGTGTTGTTATTTCGGGCATGAGCTAGCCAAGCAGCCGGGGTGTTGGGGACGCAGCCCCGCCGCCGCTCCATATTTCAACACCTTGTCTGATTTTTTTGAGTTAATCTTGTATCCTACTACATTACTGAAAGTGTTTATGAGTTGTAGAAGTTCCTTGGTAGAATTATTTGGATTACTTATGTAAACTATCATATTATCAGGAAACAGAGTTTGACTTCTTTTCTGATTTGTATCCCCTTGATTTCTTTTTGGTGTCTTATTGCTCTAGCTAGGACTTCAAGAACTATATTGAATAGATATGCAGAGAGTAGACAACCTTGTTCCTTTCCTGATTTCAGTGGAATTGCTGGGAGTTTCTCTCCATTTAGTTTGATGTTGGTTGTTGGCTTGCTGTATATTGCCTTAATTATGTTTAGGTATGTCCCTTGTATCCCTGCTGTCTCCAAGACCTTTGTCATGAAGGGCTGTTATATTTTGTTGAAAGCTTTTTTGACATCTAATGAGGTGATCATGTGGTTTTTATTTTTCAGTTTGTTTATATGGTGGATTACCTTGACAGATTTTCATATGTTGAACCATCCCTGCATCTCCAGGATGAAGCCAACTTGATCATGGTGGATGATGGTTCTGATGTGTTCTTGGATTCCATTTGCCAATATTTTATTGAGTATTTTTGCATCATTGTTCATGAGTGAGATTGGTCTGTAATCCGCTTTCTTAGTAATGTCTTTCTGTGGTTTGGGTATCATAGTAATCGTAGCCTCATAAAAAGAATTTGGCATTGTTCCTTCTGTTTCTATTGTGTGAAATAATTTGAGGCGTATTGGTATTAGTTCTTCTTTGAAAGGCTTGTAGAATTCCGAGCTGAAACCATCTGGACTTGGGCTTTTTTTGGTTGGGAGACTTTTGATGACTGTTTCTATTTCTTCAACAGTTCTAAGTCTGTTTAATTTGCTTATTTGGTTTTGATTTAATTTTGGTAAGTGATATTTATCCAGAAAGTTGTCCATTTCCTTTAAGCTTTCCAATTTTGTGGACTACAGGTTTTCGAAATATGACCTGATGATTCTCTGTATTTCCTCCGTGTCTGTTGTTATGCCCCTTTTTCATTTCTGATTTTGTTAATTTGTATATTCCCTCTCTGCCTTTTTTTTTTTTAAAAAATTCGGATAAGGGTTGGTCTATTTTGTTGATATTCTTGAAGAATCAACTCTTTGTCTCATTAAATCTTTGTATTGTTTTCTTTGTTTCTATTTTCATGATTTCATCTCTCAGTTTATTTCCTGTCTTCTAGTCCTTTTAGGTGAGTTTGCTTCTTTTTGATGTAAAGTTTTCAAATATTCTGTTAATTCCCTAGTGTGGGATTTTCCAGCATCTTTATGTAGGCATTTAGTGCTATGAATTTTCCTCAACATTGTTTTCATTGTGTCCCATAAATTTGGGTATGTTGTGTGGTCATTTTCATTGAATTTTAGGAAGTCTTTAATTTCTCTATTTCTTCCTTGACCCATTGATGATTAAGGTGAGAACTGCTTAATTTCCATGTGTTTGTGGGTTTTCTGGAATTAGTATTGCTGTTGACTTCTAGTTTTAAACCATGATGATCTGATCAGATATATTGGGTTATCCATTTTTTTTGTATTTGTTGAGGTTTGTTTTGTTACCAAGTATGTCATCAGTTTTCGAGAAGGTTCCATGAGGTTCTGAGAAAAAGGTATATTCTTTTCTGTTTGGATGGAAAAGAATGGTCTGTTATGTCCATTTGAGTCACAACATCTGTTATTTCCCTTATTTCTCTGCTCATTTATTGTCTGATTGACCTGTCCAGTGGTGAGAGTGGAGTTTGAAGTCTCCCACTATTAGTGTGTAGGATTTAATGTATGATTTAAGCTTTAGAAGTTTTTCTTTTACATATGAGGGTACCCTTGTATTTGGGCATAAAGAGTCATTATTGAGATTTCCTCTTGATGGATTTTTCCTGAGATTAATATGAAGTGTCCCTCTTCATCTGTTCTGAGTGATTTTAGATAGAAATCTATTTTGTTAGATATTAGGATAGCTACACCCGCTTGTTTTTTATGTACACTTGTTTGGAATATTTTTTCCCCAAACCTTTACTCTGAGACCATGTCTGTCTTTGAAGTTGAGGTGTGTTTCTTGTATGCAGGAGAAGGATGGATTCTGTTTTCATATCCAGTCTGTCAGTCTGTGTTGCTAGCTCCTTTTAGTTTAGTTTTCATTGTTGGTCATATTAATTTGTACACCTCAGCAATGGTGACTCTTCCAGCCCATGACTACATTATATTTGTCCATCTAGTCCAGGGCTTACAGATAGCACCAACTGCCTTCTTTCCTACTGTTAGTAAGGCGCAGGCCATGATCTAACTGCCACCTTTTGTTTTTCTTAGACACTTTACATGGCAATGTAATAGATTCCCTTAAGATTTTAATGAAGTTGGGTGGTGGTGTTGGTGGCACACACCTTTAATTCCTTGAATAAAAAAAACTTTTTTTTCTTCTCCTTCAGTCCCAGCTTCCTGAAGATGGTCACACGCCAAGAGCAGACATTGTCGTTGCCCTCAGCCCAGTGCCAGGATTTCCAAAGGTCTCAGAGATCAGACGTTCAGCTTCTGTTCTGCTGGGTTCCACTGGCTTCCGGAAGAAAGACCAGTCACCTTCCTGGGTTGGTCGAAGGAATAATTTAATTTCCCTCCTACTCCTAAGATGAGTAGGCAAACAGACCCAATGGTTGGGGTCCCAGGGTCAGCCTCTGGCTGGCACAGCCAGGCAGGCTTGTGTCACAGGTCACAGCAAGCTTGGCCAGTTAACAGATAAAGTCATGGGGGTTATCATATTAAATGTGGTCACATTAGGAAGAGGAACAAATCAATCCAGTGTCCCCCTGGCCCAGACTGTCTAAACAGCCCTGGTTGTTGTGTGTCCCTGATGTGAGGGTAAGCAGCCCTTGCTGTAGTGTGGCTAGCTTATTATCCCCACTGAATCAGGACAAAGACAACCTGGGTGTCAAGGGTCTCTCCTGCCGTGGATCTGACAGGTTGGAATCATGGGAAATCCCTTCTTGGGAGACAAGCTCTCTCCTGACTGAACCAGGCCTCACTCAGCTTTCCTCTTCCCCAGCTGTGACTCCTGAGAAAATTCAGATTTCCTGGAGAACAGTTTAAAGGTCTAATAGCCAAAGAAAAGGACACAAGTATCTTTAGATCATCCTGCCAGGAAGGACAGAGCTGTAATGTTTGCTTACATTTCAGCTCCGCCTGCTCCTTATTGGTGAGTGTGCAGCACTGTGTCCTGTGACTGCGCCAAGTCACTCAGTAGCTCCATGAATGCTTGCTGAGGTTTTGCTAAGCAGATTATAACACTAGCAACACGGACAGCTCTACCGCTGTGCCTGGCTGTCCTTGACCTTACTGTCTTGACCACGAGACCACGACTTGACTATGGTGTTAAATAGAATTGTTGAGAATAGAATTTCATAAAGTTATCCTAGTCA